CTCCAGGCCTCCAGAATGTAACCATATTTTGTCCAGACATTTCTGTGCCACCCTTCATTATCTTTTCTTATTTTGCTTTAACTTTTCATTCCCTCTGTCTCTCATTTTGCTACTGCTTCTCCTACTAGAATACGCACTTCAGCTTAAATGAAAGGCAGTAAAAGACAACTTGCCTGGTGTAATTTAACCCCCTTTCTCCTCTTTCATTAGATTAAATTCAAGTTCTTTTGCAGAATCTTCTGTGCTGAAGTATTTTTTCTTGTGTTTCTGTTGAATGCTCATGATAGCTGTTAGATTAGTTTATTTAGACAAGAGAAGAAGAGAGCAACAATTATCAAAAAAGTGTCTCTGTTCACGCTAAAAACCTGAAGTGCTGCAAAGCTACAGTGGATAGGAATATACAGTGAATATAGTTGTTTGTATCATTGCTAATTGCAACATTTATTGCAGCTCTAGTCTGTTAATCAAATTGATAACTGTTACTTGCAAGCTAGCTTTAAGACAAAAATTAGGGAAGAACTGTAAGTTCTTTCTCATGGCAGAGCTGCAGAGAATTTGGCGATGGGTATTAATAGTAAAGCTATCATAATGCCTTTGAATTTAAAAGAGAGAAAAGGCACATTTCTAAATACTACTTTCATTGTAAGAGATTGTTAGTTGTTAAAGCCACTAAATACAAGCTACAAATTGGTGGTGTAAAGTTTATTTTTCTTGGCTGAATTCTATGGACTTTTTTTAGCCTCATACTTCTCTGCTTAGCTAAATTGTATAAATAGCAGATAAATTATTTCTAATTTAATCAAGTAGGTGCCCTCTAGAAGCAGTGACAATACTAAGAAATACACTGTTCCTGTGTTTTAGTTCTGGACTAAAACCTTGCCAGAGAGGTGCCTCTTGAACATTTGCCCATTTTATAATCCAAATAGCAGTTAAGGGATGAAAACTGCAGTGTCCTGGCAGTACAGATTTACAGACATTGAGTCCAGAGGAGTCCAGAGTCAGTGGGGGTGAACTGGCCCTGCCAGGGAGAGGCAGTGTAATGCAGAGCACAAAAGAAATACATAATTATTTTTTCCACAAATGTAGGTATTGTATTAGAACATTATAATGCATACTTCAATAAAGTAATTTGTGACTGCAGTAGAGGGAGATTGTTAGCTTAAGGACTGGATTATTATCTGTGCTGGAAGACATGACAAGTGTTGTACAGCCTCTGAGTATGGTCTGGGGGTTCTGTATTTCCAGCATTTCCAGCTACAAGGTTCCCATCCCACTTGCTATCACAGCTTTGCACACAGTTAAACTGCTAGTCAAGACAATATGGGATAAATGTCAGATAAAACAAGAAAAAACATACTCCAAACTGGACACTAAAGAAACCTCTGATAGTATAGATAGAGGAAGTGATATTGCTTCAAAAATATAGATGATTCAACTTAATTGCATCCACTAATTTGCTATTCCAGGCTGTATTTCAGAGATTTGAGATAAACTTTAAAAGTTATTTAGTAACAAGAATGAAAATCAAAAAAATTGCATTTTTTCCATGGTAACATATACATAATACATTCCAAGTTTGTGTATAAAATGCTTAGATATTCACTTTCCTGCTCCACATCATTCTATTAAGTTTTCTCATAAAATCACAGGGGGTAAATATGTTGATTGTTGTGTTGATTGTCACGGTCTTCTTGTTTCAATTTTCTTTTATTAAATGCTTCTATTTATTTTGTGTAAGTGTTCACACTGCCAAAGGGCCAAAGGTTACTAATGAAAGCCTTGGCATGCTTGAAGGTAACTGGAAACAGCAGAGAATTTGAGGTGAAAGCTGGGACAGTTGTTTTGTTAATGTTTCGCTTTCACTGATTTATGGGTATGTTATGGCCCATATAGCTGTATATTAAGTGATATTCATAAAACAGAGAGGAAAAAAAAGTAGAGATTTTATTTCAGGCAGTGTAGAGATAACAAACCATCAGTTGCGGATCTGGCAGTGACCACAAGTCCCCCATTTTGATACACTGGATTTGTAGACCAACAAAACTTTCCTAAAGTTTGCTTAGCTTTCCATTTTTAAGAATATTTTCCAATTTGGATGGTCCATAAGCATTGTGTGCATTATTAATGGAATGCAGCCTATCAGGGAGGCTTACAGGCTAGAGAAATTTCTTATTCCTCCAGAACAGTGTTATTCTGATTAATTACTTCACTTTTCAAGAATGGAGCTGTATGACAGTTGCACAATCACTTATTTCTATTAACTCATTATTGCTTTCCTCTGTTGGCTCTGATAAAATTATTTCTTTTCTGATTTCTCACTGATGCTTTGCTTAATGGAGTTTTCTTCTTAGTTTTATTCTTTGTTTGCTTTAGAAAAGCACGGTGAAACATATGCCATAGTGGAAAAAAAGGCTTAGGAAATCATTAGGAAATCACTCCATTTGTTTTTGAAGGCTTGACACAATGGTATTTCACCATCACATGTTAAAGCTTCCACAGTTATTTCTGCCAACAAGGTGCCTGTGGCTCTGCAATACTCCCCAAAATTGGCTGCTGCTCTGGGTTAATGAGCAAGTTTTTTGGCTTTTATTTTATTTGGCTTTCAATCAAATCTTGTAAGCTTTGGTGGTTAAACTCATTTACAGGTATGAATTTGTATTCCACCAAACTGTCTTCAGCAGATGCAATAGTATGTTAGGAATTAAGTCAAACTCTGCTTTCCTGGGCCATGCTGGCCTAATTACACTGGAGTATGCTTTAACGAGGATTCTTCTGAGCTGCCTCTGCCTGATATGGCAAACAGCCCAGAGGCAAATTTCAGATCCCAGTGTCAAGAACTGATTCATTGCTTGTCTGCAATTAACAGCTGGGCTTCAGGGTCTAGATAGAGAGCTAGAATAAGACTCTCTTTCAGCTCTTGTATTGAACCCAGAGTTGTTGACCTTTTCCAATGCAGATGTAGCTCAAAGGCCAGATATAATAGATATGTCACATCGGAGATACCACACAGATTGTGGAGAAATAAGACAGTTTTGATTGCATTAAGTCAAAGGCTTTAAATTGCACATCAAATAATGGTCACAGACAGTGGAAGACATTTCATAAGGATATAAAAACAAAGAGTGTCCAGGAGTAAAACAGATCTTTTTGTCTGAGATGATAAGTGTGATAGGTCACTATCACTGTTTATATAAATGAACTTTGCCATCCTTATTTTAATTGTTTGAATCTATGAGAGATAATGCCAAGCCTGCTTTGTTTTGTGTCCCCCTTCCTCCTCATCTAATGTTGTGCACTTTCCAAAACACCAAAAAAGAAAAATTGTCATAACATAGCATATGAAATATTACTGCTAGTTATAATATGGAGGAAAAAAAATGCAGTTTCTGCTCCTAGAAACTCTATTGCTCATCCCAAACAATATTCATGCCTCAGGAAAGAAGAAGGGAAAACACAACAGGAAACCTTCTTTTATAAATCTGCTTTGTTTAATCAAAAATATCATTGTTGTTGGCTAGCTCTCAAGGCAAATGTCAAGGCATCCCATAATGCCAGCTGCAGGAACAGGCTTGTATTCTCCTGGTAGACACTGTTACACAGCCTGACCTAAATACAGCAAAGAACTGGAACAGTGGCCTGGTTGTGAGTGGGGAGATTTTGTTTGGGAGACTGTTCTCAGATACACCAGTCTACCTTTTTGGAAGAAATCTGTCAAGTTGTAGTACAGAATAATACATTTTTGCCTCCTGTCTAGTTCCAGGATAACAGCTAATTTGAAACTTCTTCTGGAAGACTTTTGTTCCCTGCCACCTATAGATGTTTGAGTGTGTAGTGTATGGAATGGTGTTATGTTTAGCACTCAGCATCTTTCAGTCTTTCTTTGATACTACTGTTTCAAACATGTATGTTCTCTTCCATTAAATAGCTAAAGTTCGAGTGGTTTAAATCTTATTTTTTCAAACTAGAGAACTGCATTACTCACATACCAGAAAGCTAAGTAATGTCTGGGATTTATTAAATCATTCAGCAAAGCTGACCACAGACAGTTGCATATAGAACAAGTGCTGGAAGAAAAATAATCTATGATGATGTTCATTATACTACAACACACACAGACCGAGAGCCAAATATTTGATATCATATCTGTCTCTACAATTATTATGTTCCTTTTTAAACCTTTAACTAGCTTGACAGTTTTGGTTATACAGGGTTTGAGCACAGAGGAAATATGTAGAAATGTTAATTTTACATCATGGTAAAACAGCTATGGGCTATAACAAGATGAATTTTTATTGGTGACTTTAATGAATAGGTAACCTTTACTGCCAAGTTAGTGTTGTTGCGCAATTTTTAAAATCTCACATTCCAAGTGTATTTGCAAAATTCTACTGCTGTTCTATTTGGCAAAAAGTACATTATTGAGGCTCAGATTGGAATAGGGCAGTTTTTTGCATCTGTTCCTAGTATTCCAAATACTTATGAGTCTTTTCCAGTTTATCAGCCTTTCATAGGTAAAGTGCTACTTGAGAAAAATGCAGAAGTAGTAAAATGGATGCTACTGATCGGTCAGTGCTAACATAAAGGGTTAGAAGTAAGTGAACAGGTGTTCTATGGAATTTTAGGCCCTTACTACTTTCTAAACATTTAGCTGATTTTACAATCACAAACTGAGTATCCAAAAATTGAGCAAACGCAAAAAGAAATAATTATTTCTTGCATGAAGCTGTGAACTGAAATTTCTTTGCTATTAACTATTCTGAGCAAAAGAACAACAAACAAAATAATTATGAAAATTCCACAGTAAAGGAGAAAAGTCATGCAAGCTCATTTCTGCTACAGTGAATCCTCTTGGTTTGATTGGGGGTTTTGGTTTATATTATGTTACAGTCCAGAGAAAATTTTAAACTTTGCTTTGCCTTATTTTAATTGTGTTGTTTACACATAAAAGGATATTTGTTGTGTGGATTAAGTGGTTTGTGAGCAGGATTGGATAACATAATTATGCTTTAATTTTTTTAGAAGACTGTGGGATGTATTTCCCAGAAGTGAAAAATCATCCAGACAAATATTTACAAAGATGTCCCGAGTCTGTAAAAAAGTGGCTGAAACAACTGAAGAATGCTGGGAAGATTCTGCTGTTAATTACCAGTTCTCACAGTGACTACTGCAGGCTTCTGTGTGAACATGTTCTTGGGTAAGCACAAAGTCCATTTCAAATTATATCTGCTGAAGAGCAACTGGAGATAAGCCTGAGTTATTGGGAAGCTAATTTGAGTTTTGTTTTTATGTACAGCTAATTATTTGGTTCTGAGTTTTCTGTGGAGCCCCTCTCTGGTAGAGTGTTACAGGGTACTTGAGACAAAGGAGTCTGTCCATCTGTAAGCCTGTGAGCTGTATTCAGCACTCTTATAACCTGCATCCTTTTGGAGGACTCATGATGGGATTGAAGATGACAGGGAATTACCTTTCAGGCCTGTCCTATACACCATCTGGTTCCTAATTTTATTGTAAAATTTTGCTAGACTGTCTTTAAGCCACTTCCTTTCTTGCTCCTCCAGCAGTGAATGCAACTAGTAGTACTATTGCATTTCCTTGCAGGAAATCTGCAGGAAAATCTTACCAATACTTTTTCCCATTAGTGGTTTGATGTGAGCAATCTGCGTCATCACAGCAGAAAAGATAAAACAGAAACTTCATTGCACTTGGAGACTGGTTGAGACTGCAGTTGCTGATCACAGCTGTTTTTAGCATAATGTTAACATGACCTGTCAAGTCAAATTCAGTGAAATTCAGCAGAACTATCACTTAGAAAAAAAAATTAATCAGTGATGCAAGATGCAAATAGTGAGGTGGGTGACAGAGTGAGACTTAATTGATTTTTAATCAAAGAAATAAAGTAGTTCAGTATGAGCCTACCTTGGCTATCAGGTTATGCCAGGGAACAGCAGAATGAATACAGCAACACTGTAAGAAAAGCACGGGTAAGGTAAAAGACAAAGTACCTTCCAAAACCAGTCCTGCCAGTATCACTTCTCTTTTGTACTCTCTAGGCTAAATGCTAAAAAATGAAGCCTCAGCTGTGCCAGTTCTCACTGCTTTGCATGACCATTATCCTTTGAGGGGCAAATCTACCCCCTGACAAAAAGCAATTCTCCTCTATGAGTAAGATTCCTGTGAATTAACTCTTTTGTGTATATCTGAGCAGTTATTTCCTAAAGGTAAATTTGGTATAAAGGTAAATTCTTGGCCACATATAAGGATTTGGCTTTCTGTTCCTTGGTGAATAGTTGTCACACTGTATTAGGAATTGGGATAGTGACAACACAGACTCTCAAGCTTAGTTGCAAAAGAGAGCATGATTTGTTCTTCAAGATCCTTTTTTATAGATAGTTCTGAAAGGGTCAGAAGGGGTAAAACTTCTATTGGCCATCAAACCAACACATCACCATCACTGGACAGTTAGGAACAACACCCCTTGACCATTTCTTGCAAGTAAACAAGGAGACAAATAACACCTGCAAAGGTTGTTTTCCTTCTCCAAGCACTGTTTGAGTTCTTCCTCAAAATTTCTCAGGTCACACTTTCTCAGGCCAGTGTGAGAAAGTTATGTGGCTTGGTTTCACACAGACGCTGTGCTACCTGCCTGATCTCTCGCATTCAGCATCCACAAATAGTGTTCAGCTGTTTAAAGTAGCTGTAGAAATCCTTCTGTAAGACAGTAAGCAAGATACCAGAAATGATCACTTGCCTTTCAAAACACCAGATATTCTGCTAGAAGGATACTGTGTCACTCCCTCTTTCCACAGAAAGTGTAGGATGTTCTACGGTATTTATTACAATCATATTTTCCAGTGATTCATACAGTGTGCTTCCAAGTAGCTTTTGGAGAACTGAGTACTCCAATATCCATTAGACTTTAGTGAAGTGGGGTTATTTTCCTGAAAATCTAAGCTTTTTATTGGTTTTGTTTGTTCCCTGCCTCTTGTATCAGACAAAAAGACTCTCCGTACCTGTGCTGCTTTTTGCTGTACTGGAAAATAATTTAGGTTCATACCTATTGTCACTGCCCTCAACTTTATTTGACCAGGCTAACTGGTTTTTATTCTTGACATCAGCACTGCATTTTATTCTTGATATCACCACTTATGAATTGCACCTACATAGTCCTTTATTAATTTTTATTCCTACTCCTTTCAGTTAATCAATATGATACTGAAAAGCCCAAAATTGTATAGTATGAAACAGAAAAACCCATAATGATAAATATGAAGAACAGAGATGAGTGTGAAATTTTAGCCTCTTACACCTAATATCCTTACTTTGTAACTATTTCCTTTTTTGCACTTTATTAAAGAAGCTCCTTTTTGACTAAGAAATTATTGTCTTCCTAAAACCTGTGCTTGGAAATTCATGCTTAAGTGTATCATTTACCATTTCATGAGCAAAATATCCCTCTCATGCTCATCTGACCAAATTGTCCTTAACTAGAGCACATTCTGGTAGGGAGAGGAAGTGTAAGAAAAACCTTATTTTGAAATAAAATGTTAGGAGAGAAACCACTGGGCACTATCCTTGGCAATTCATTCTGCATTGTAGAATTATGTCTGATATAAGTGGGATGAATTAACCGTTCGAGAATGTGGATGTTTCTCCATTGGCTCTGTCTGTGGTGTCAACCACTATCTGCATTCAGAGTGCAAGTTTTAGGAGGCTAAAGTTATGATACATGTATAAGATATATCCTGTCCTTTGTGCTAGCTACTTATTGTAACCAGAAGCCACTCTACCAATCACAGGCGGTAACTAGAACAGATTTGCTTTATATATAGTGTTACATAGTAATGTAACACTAAGTCTCACATAAAAACACTAGCTTTGTACATGAGATTGAATATATTGTTTCAAGAAAGGCCACAGATAATGCATTACCTCACACAAAGCAGTTTTTCAACAGAAAAATAGGAAATTACCAAATCTTCTGAAAAGTCTGTTTGTTCTGTTTTAATTTTTTAAACAAAGCACTTGCCACTTTTTCCAGAAATCAGAGAATCATAGTCATTTAGGCTGGGAAAGACCTTTAAGATCATTGAGTCCAAGCTTTAACCAAGCACCTCTGTGCTCACCGCTAAGCCATATCACCAAGCGCCACATCCACGCATTATTTGAAAACTTCCAGGGATGGTGACTCCACCACAACTCTGGACAGACTGTTCCAATGCCTGACCACCCTTTCTGTGAAGAACTTCTTCGTAAAATCAAATCTAAACCTGCTCTGGTGTAACTTGAGGCCATTTCCTCTCATCCTTTCACTTGCTAATTGTTCTTTGTTGTGCTTCTGAAATGTTTGCTTTGTTTTGCAAATTCAAGCTTAATTTACCCAGGATGGATTATTTGCACCTGATGCTAATTTGAAAAGTTTATCTCTGTTGATACTTTTCACCTAAGAACAGAAGAACCTGGTCTGTTTGCTCAGCATCTGGAATCTTTCACATGGAAGGAAACTTTAAAAACACACCATTGTAATATTTGATACTGGTTCTTTTAAAAAGGCAAAGGTTTACATATGGTCACAAGTGGAGAAAAAAATAGACAAAGCTAAAATTTCATTAGAGAAGGAAATTTAAAGGACATTTATTTTAAGGCTGGAATGTAATTTTGAGCACAACCCAAAAGCTGTCTCTCATAGGGAGAGCATTCAGTTTTTGATAAGATATCTCAGTCCCATGGAAGATCATTAATTATTTGAAAGTGATGCAGTTAACTGGTTTACTTCCAGCAAACTTCCTCTACTGCTGATAGCATTTCAGTGCCTGTGTCCATCCTGGACTTGCCATCTGTGGTTTCTTTGTTCCATGCAAGAGTATCCATCATTTGTTGGATGTTGTAGGCAATGTAGTCACCTAAGCAATGAAATATTTCTAATAAAATAAAATACATCATAGATGAGGAATGTTTTCTTATATACCATGCTGTGACATTCAACCCATTTAAACTGATGGTATTTCCACCAGTTCAGATAACAATCTGTGTATATGGACCTAAACATCTTTGAAAAATCTGAATTTAGTTGTGGGATTAAGCTGGCGGATGAAGACTTGAAGCTGGTGGCTCTTTATTTGTAGTCACATGTCCAACCTCCCTGTAACCATCAGGGATGTAGTGAGAGCAGCCAGTGGAGTCTGAAGAGAGTTCAGCTGTCAAAATGGTGCTTCAGTTTTCGAATATGTGAAATCACGCTCTCATTTTAATTGGCTGTAAATTAGATCTCTGTTGTCTGCCAAGGGCCTGTGCATACATTCAGTATGGATACCAACACTATAAGCACCTGTGTTTAAGTGTCTTCAGTTACTTCCTACCCCATCCCTTCAGATATTCTTCTTTGAAAAAAAACCCCTGCATTTACAACTTTTTGTTCATGTCCATGCATATGTTGCCATCTCAGATTAAAAATATGTCATCTGTTACATGTTCTCCTGAGATCAAGTAACATCTTTTTTACAAATAATGAGTGTTCCCAAAGATCACTCACTGTGAGTTTGACTCTTTTGACAACCTCAGGAAAAGAAGAATAATAGTGACATTGAAGAAGCATTTAAAAAAAAAAAAGAAGTTACAGAAGCAAGTGCCTTAAAGTGCAAATGCCTTAAAGAAATATTCTGGTATTTTCTTAAGTCTTAAAGAGTATTTCATTACATCTTAACTAATTTGTTAGTTTAACTAATCACATTTACTTTACTTCCTAGGAGTGATTTTGAAGAGTATTTTGACGTTTTGATCACAAATGCTTTGAAACCTGGCTTCTTCTCCCATACACCAAACCAAAGACCTTTCCGAACTCTTGGTAAGTTGCAGCTGTAAGTCCCTTCTCATCCACTTACCTCTATGGGGAAAAGAAAAAAAAAATAAAAAAATAAGGCAACTGAACGTTGGCAGTGGGGTGGGAAATGGACTAAAATTCTGTTAAAACTGAAGAACACTGAGAAATTAAAAATTACAGTGTTGAGGACAATTAAAAGGCAGAGCTGTGATAGTAATTAAAATTGCACTGGGGCTTAAATACTGCACCATGTTGTGCTCACATGGTCATGCACAGAAAACAAAATTGAGTTCTGGGAAAAAAACAAAGCAGAAATATTTAATGGAAATTCAGAGAACTGTACAAATAAAATTGTAAAGCTGAAGGAAAGAATTTACAATGGAAATCTGACAGTACTAAGTGTGTTTACTTTGGCTAAATAATGACAGAGTAGGTGAAAAGGAACTGGCTCTGTACTCACTTAATTTAATTAAAACAATCTGAAACACTTGGCAATATTGTCCATTAGGTAGTTAAGGTTGTAACACAGGAGTTTTATAAGAGCAGTGTTCATTGAACTGCAAATAACAATGTAACATTGCTGAAGACAGTTAATTTTTCCATAATTTGGTAAATATCTTAATGATTAAGTTTCCTGAAAACTAATCTTATAGTCAAAATAAGTTAGCGTACACTGAACCATAGTTTATCATTTTATGACAGGAGTCAGTGTTCCAGCCCAAAAGAAATTTTGCTTGAGGAACTTCTACAGTAAAACTGAAACAAGCAGAAAAAATACATATTGAAACTACATTTTAATGTTTCACATATTTATATAGGAAAATAAGTATCTTAGGTGTGATTTTTAAAGGATTAGTTGAAATAGTTGCCAAGTTGACAATTTGAGAGAAAAGTAATCTCAGAAGGGAAATTGAAACTATTTGTATGAAAGGAGAGAGGGGAATAAAATTATAAAGGGTGAAAAAGGTTTCGTTCTGCAACCATTTGATTTAGTTTCATAAAAAGGCAAATTGAAAATAAAATGTAATTCACTTTGGATTTCTTTTAAACAAACTTGATAGCCTGACTTCCTGAGGAAATCCTGCTGTGTCCCTCTGTCAGCAATCCAGCCAGCAACTTTTGGACCTGTTGGACAGTTTCAGTAAATTTAATAGACAGCCAACAAGCTCCAAGATACTTTGATAGGTGGCAGGTTTTTGTGCAAAAAAAGGGGCAGAATAAAGGGAGAAGACCAAGTTACTCTCTCCATTGATAATATGTAGCATTGGCATAACGACCACATTACACTGTATAACCAATTTTCATGAAGCTGTTTCTTTCTCTGCTTTCAAACAGGAACAGCATTTTCTGGAGTCCTCTTGTTGTCCTAGTGGTTTTCATTCAGTTTATATCTTGACAATGCGAAGGGGCTCAAATGTCAGTCAATCACTCATTATGTTAATACCTTATTAATGCAAAATAAAATGTAGTTTGTGTTCTGGACACTTCACTATCTAAATAGATATGGGACACAAATGTAACTAAAGCAATTACCAGATAAATAATTTTGTGGAGCGACTTACTTGGGAGTGTAATTTTTTTCTTAATATGTTTATATTCGAATGATAGTAACTGGTTTCTTCTGAAAGACCAATCACGACATTCAAAGCAAGGACTTACACACCTAGGACAGGTTTTTAGAGACATATTTAAAAATGCTGTAGAGCTTGTTTAAGAGTACATGACGTTTAAACCATAAAAGTAGAAGCATTTATATGAGAAAATGCCCAAAATAATTATAATTTCTATAATGTTTATTTTGCTGCCCTATCTCTGTATTCCTCACAGCAGCTGGAACAGTATACAGTGACGCTTCTAATATCTTGACAGGGAGCAGTTTTCTAGTTTTCAGATTATTTTTTTTTTATGGCTATCTTTCATATCAGAACCACTGAAAATTCAAAATTTCAACTTCTTGTTTCTTCCTGTTGGCCTTCAGGCAGAAGAGTTTGGTCACAGTGCTGCAGATCAGGGGGACAAAATTTCCATATTTTTCCTTTGAAAAGTAAAAATCTGTAGGTGGACATCATAGTAAATATTTTCTTAAAGCACAGAGACTAAACTTTTGCTAATTTAGGGAAAAAAAAAAACTTGTTCTAGGAAGAAATGTGTTGTAGAAAAGGAACTGAAGCAACTGGTTATCATTGTTACCCATTTCTACAGGTCTGAATCTCAGCCGTGTTCTTCCAACCATCAGTAGCACTGAGCAGCAATAAATTCCTAATAATACCATATTTTATTTTTTTTTTTACTTAAGGACAAGGCACAAAAGATAGAATGTGTTCTTAATTGCAAATATCCCACGTGTTGCACTGTGCACTGGAGCTAAATGTTATTTATATGTAACAGGACTTCTGCTGCAGATTTACTGAAGGAAAGGTTTTAAAGTTTACTAAAGAGGAGGATAAATTCTTTTCTGTGAATAAGCTCAAAAGGCAATTGTATTCAGCAGGCATTTGAAGGAGAATGAGAAACAGGATGAGATGACAAAGGAAGCATTGTCTGGAAATGTGATATTGGGTAACAGCACTGAAAAAGGGAGTTTTTTTCAGTAGACAAGTAATTTTAGAGCTAGTCCATTTAGAAACCATGAAAAATTATTTTAATTGCTCAATTAAAATTGCATCACTATTTCATTTTCATTTCAAGATGCGCATCATCTAAAGCAACTAAAACACTGTTTGAAAGCTAAAAGATTTGTGTGACTGGGGCACTGAAAAGCACAATAATTATTTATTTAATTTTGCATAATTGTCTTTCAAAGTACCATTCTGTTAAGTGGAAGAACAATTTATATGTATCTTTACAGATTTTAGGACAGCTACCCTTATTTTGACCCGGCAAAATAATTTTTATAATTAAGGGTAAGTTATGTAGCAAAGGATATATTTTGTGAGAACAGATATGTATATCTGTTGATTGTATGTGCTGTAAATAAAAATACCCCCAGACTTTGCTACCATAATATGAATACTCTATAATTTGTTTGTTATTCACAAAGCTTTATTTTCTTTTACATAAGGAAATTCTTCTCATGGTTCTTGAAATTACTAATATCTTGAGCTACAGGACCTAAGGATCAGGTTGAAAATGCTTGCGTAAATCCCATGTTGACAAGGAAGGATTTTCCTTGCTTTCAACAGCTACATCCAGCTTAAAATAATTTCTCATTTCACTCAGGGCTTGAAGGAATATAAATAGAAAATACAGTTGTGAATTATATGATAATCTGCAATACATGAAGATTTCTGTAACATTTGACAACAGAGCTTTCCCTTTATCACATCACTTTTTAATGCATATCAAATTACTAGCCTGACTGCCAGTTCTGATCATTGCCAAATATATATTTTACAATCCAAAATTATAATTGAAATGCTAAAGATAACCCTTAATTCCCTGGAAGCCTTCCCTAAGTCTGTATTCATAGGGAAGTCTGCTTGGTCTTAAAGAAGGCTTATATATCTTTTCTTTTCAGCTCAGGCACAGCTGTCTTTTCTGATCTGTTTTTTGAGGTTGTTTTTTTCTTTCCATGAATTGAAAATGTATTGCTGTTCAGTGTCTGAATTTAAAACACTCTCTTAAAAACTTATGTATAGCCTTCTGTGTATGTGTATGTATCTGTACAGACTGAAAACAATTCCATAGATGGAGTGCCAATGAATACCATATTTCAAAGCCTGCTTTCAGTGACACTTCCAGGATGTCTGCCTTGTTCCTGAACTTGAATTTCTGCTCATCTTACCATACCTCTGCTACAGAATGTAGCTTCCCATTTAAAAAACTTTCAGTCATCTAATTTTTTATGATTTTTCTGGTAACTGCCATTTTTACAATTCTGTACAGAAACCTTTTCCTCCTTCATTCACCCTTCTAAAAATACAAGAAAATTCTATAAGCCGAAAGGACCAATTAGAAAAGAAAATAAGGAGGCAGGATATAAAACCTGGGCTGAAGACCATCTTTGGTTACTAGGGACTGCAAGACTTCAGAAGGTGGTGATCCCATGTCTGCTGGATGAGTTTTCTTTTGCCATCTTTTGTGAACAGCTGGGTTTGACTATGCCAGAGATGGGCTGGGGAGCCAGGTAGTGGGAAGGGAGAGCATGGGAGGAGGTAAAGTACATGGAAACATACAGAGAAGAGGGATTTCACACTAATGGGGTTTTCTGAATTTCAGGTCTTTGCTTTTTGACCTACTTGTTGCTTCAAGGAGAACTTCTGCAATAAGGCTAATGTGTCAAACATAGCTTGAAATGATGTACCGGTGTACTGGGCTGACTGGGGCTCCCAGCTGGCCCTCTAGCCACAGCAGGGGATGCAGCTCTGTCATCCCAGGCATCTCAGAGCTCAGAAAACCTTTCACAGGGAAGCCCACAAAGGGCCTCATCTCACATGTCTCAGGAAGCACAAGCAGAATAACAGCAGCACCAGCAAAGGGAACCTGAGTAATCTTTTCCTTCAGTGGCTCAGGGTGTTTCTTTATGTAATGCAGCTGTGCCTGTTACCATTCTTTTGGAAATGGTGCCTCTTCATGTCAGTCTGTGTGGATATATTCTATGACACGAGGCCGCATAATAATGCATTTTTGCTGGGAGCTTGTGACAGAACAGCATGTAAAGGTTGTGCTGGCTGCACACTGCTTAGAGAGCAAGAGCTATCAAGTCTATAACCATTTCCCATATCTCTTCTACAAGAAGATGCCTTTATAATTGTCATAACATCCCACAGTGCCATATGGTCCTTAAAGGCCATACTACTCTTTTTAGGAGAAATTCTGTTTAGCAATTCTTTACACTGTTTTTGCTCTGTTTTTCATGTTCTTTCCCAACTATTTAGGAAAGAAAAAGGATTATAACTAAAAAGTAATGATATTTTGTACTCTAGTTTTCAAAACTATGTCTTTTTATACCTCACAGGATCATGATGTTAAGATCAAGAGTCTCTTCCTGCTCTAATATCACAAACAAATTCTGTAATAAGCTG